CAATGTATATCACTATTTTAAACCAGCAAGAAAGGTATTCTACCATTACAGTAGATATAAACATGTTTGTCTCTTCTTATTCCTGAGCTGTCCACCATCGGGATGAAATGATGGTTGATTTTACCGAGGTCGGCAAAAGAGTGCTTAGGGAAGTTATGTATTGTCTTCAGAAACATTTGGAACATATCTATGTGCACACCAGTGGGTGCATTCTCTATCCTTGATAGAGATGAGCTTGATTTCCAGGAAGCACAAGTCTGTGTAATTAATGGACAAAACAAGTACTGGATCACAGCTGTAAAAGGCTGAATATATAACTCATGTACTATGTTGAGTTTACAGTTCTAACACAGGGGAAGGGACCTGCTTCTGCTGCGGCAGGAGAGCCCGAACAGTGACCAGGATATTTGGTGTGACACTTTTTGCGATGGTGTCACAGCTTGTCACGTCCGCGACGCGTTCGGACGCGTCGTTAATTGCTCTTTACTGCCAGAAAACCTACGGCGTGCTACGTTCACATTCACGCGTCACTTGATTCATAAAAGTTAATCTATATCAACGAGCGGATGCAATGTTGGTTGTACATTTTTGTTAAATGTACTTACGGTCTCGTTACCTCTATCTAATGAACTTGATATTGGGAAATACGGAAATTCAGAACCAACGTTGCATCTTCTGTATCATGACATCCCTGCTGGTACATTTTATATGCGTGATTTCAACATGCGGAAGGCTCTATGGAGGCGGGGGATTTGCGACCACTTTCTTGCAGAGTCCAAACAGATGCAAACAACTCGCCGCGCGACCCGGAATTGCGCCTCCCCAAAATCAGTCTGAAATACGACGCGTCTCTTCGCAAATTCCTTGGACCAACTTCCGCCTACAAGTCTAGCGTTCAACGTCAGGGCTCAGGCGTTCCAAAAAGGTCGGCTGGGAATACGACTTGCGCTCATCCAGGTATGTTATAATACTGGAAATTGTAATACCTTCTGACAGTCGGTGATAGATGCTGGCCTATGCAGAGTCTCTTTCGTCTGTTCCAGCCGAAGAGAATTAATACGCGACTGTTTTCGACTACGCTCGTGAATGCCCGGAAACCCATCTACTTTACCCCTCGAGCCATCAATAATGACATACTGGCGCTCTCGCGAAAATCGGGCGAGCTCTCTCGCGATCCAATATGGGTTCTGGCCAACAGGATGCTGAGGCTGAAGAAGCAGGAGGCATTGTCGCAGGCGCTGGACGAATGCGGTGTGTCTCGCGAGGAATTCGAGCGATGGATAGGAGCCGTCCGGGCGTACGACTTCGACAGTGCTATGGACGTGCTGAGAGCGAAGGGCTTCGCGCTTACTCCCGCAGGAAAGATCAGCAGGCACTTGCCCTTGTGGCTCGTGATCCACTTATTATCCACCAAAATGAAGACAGCTTCCCAAGCCCGACTAGCTCTTCCATTGGCCGTCTCTCATATGCCTGTTACTCCGATGCATCTGCAGGCACCCATTCTGATACTGGCGGCTTACGCATTGGGCCAGCATAACCTGCCTCCTTTGATGAATCCTCTGGTCACTAGGTTCTTGGAAACACCAATGGAAGGTCGGACTCGTGCACTGTACTACAACCACCTACTCCAGGCCATTTCCCGTCTACCTTCGTCTTGGGAATCCAGCCGCTTGGCTGTATCTGTGCTCCACGCGATGTCGGCTCGCCAAATACGGCTATGGCCTCGTACATACAAGTATCTCCTATCAGACCAATTCGTCACCCTTGACTTAGCGAAGATGCTCCGGGATAGAATGCGGCAGGAGGGCGTAAAGCCCATCCTAGCTCACCTGGAAGCCTTCCTCAAAGTCTTCTCAAGAGCGGGTATGCACCATGAAGCCGGCACGTATCTAGACGCCATCCGCGAAATGTCTCTACAAAAAGGCTTTGAGATCGTGCCCTACGGGACCTATCCCACACGGGAGCCCGACCAGCCTGCTGCCTCCGTCACCCGGCACAACACCGCGTATTTGCGCTCCTTCCGCGACGAAGAATCGGTCAATAGGTACCTCGCCCGCCTCGCCAACCTCGAGCAGTCCAAGCCCGGCAAGGACGACCGCAGCCTCCGGCGGCTGGGGACGCTCCGCCGGCGCCGTCTCGCGACGCTGCGCAAGCGCCGGCTCGACATCTCTGACTGGACCACCATTCTCTCCATCGCGGTGCGCAACCCGCAGACAGACCTCAAGAAGCTCTGGGACTTCTTCGCAGGCCCGAAGGCCCGCGTCCGCCCGACGACCGCGACGTTCACGCTGTTCATGAAAGCGTTCCACGACCGCCGGGACTACGTCGCCGCTAGCCTTGTGTGGTACGAGATGCGCCGGCGGAAGCTGCAGCTGGACCGCAAGGCGCTGACGCTCGGCGTGCAGGTGCTCACGATGGTCGGCAAGGCCCACAATGCTTTCCACATCATGGACTTCCGCGCCGCAAAGCCCGGGTTGCCCGCCGTTGAGGGCACGATCAAGCTCGACGCGGGCGTCGTTAACGCGTTCATGCGCTCGCTGATCCGCGTTCGCCGCCCCGACGTCGTGTACGTCCTGTGGGACCACATGGAAGCCCTGTACGGCGTGCGCCCGGACGTCGAGACGCTGAACAAGCTGCTCGAGGCGGCGTACCTCGGTGCGAAGCTGGACGACACCTTCGCGGGCTTTATCGCGAATCTGAAGCTCAAAAACCCCTTCCACTGGCCCGCGGACCCTTCAGCCGAGGTGGCGCCCGGGAAGCGGCGGCAGGTGCTGGTCGAGCGGATAAAGGCGGCAATCGCGGACCGCAAGGCGCCCAAGGGGACGTGGAATGATGAGCCCGCGTGGCGCGTCACTCGGCGCATCTTCCAGGAAGTCATCCTGGGCAACTGGCCGCACCTGAACGACATCGAGCCGCCCGCGCACGCGGTGCGCGTGTCGCCCGACGCGCTGATTGAGTCGCCCGTGCTCGACCTCGCGCGGAACATCCTCCGCGCGCGACGGCACAACGATGACAACGCCCGCACCAACGCACCTCAGTCGCCTGCCTCCGACGCGCCCGTCATGCTCGACGAGTTCGGGCCGTACCCGCAGATCCTCCCCACCGACGCGACCTTCCGCGCGTACATCGTGCTCTGCGGCGCGCACGCGCACGCGGGCGACATCCCGCTCGCGCTCGCGTGGATGCGCGCGCTGGCGATCCCGCCGCGGAAGGCGACGCTCGCGCTCGCGCTCGCGTACTGGGGCGAGGTGAGCATGAACGCGCCGCTCGTCGAGCGCGTGACGGGGCAGAACGAGTACCGGCGGCTGTGGGCGTGGATGGGCGGGTGGGTGGGCGAGCGCGGGATGCCGACGCGGGAGGACGTGGGGGATGCGCTGAGGATGCTGGCGCAAATGAGGGAGGCGAGGGTGGGCTGAGGGGATCTGTGTTCGGCGGGATGCATGCGAAGGCTGAGGTTGTCGTATGGGAGGGGACGCCCGTTTTGTCGCGAGTCTTTTTCTCCCCGCACCTCATGGTCCCCGGGTCCTTCGTCGCCTCTGGACTTGAGGCATGATGTACGGATGTGCATTGTGACCCGCTTAGTTATACGTTGATGGTGTTTGGGGTTCGGGTGCGCTAGGTAATAAGGCTCGGGCGGATCCATAATGCGATGAGACGCGATATTGTATGTACGCGAATAACGGTGACTCAGTTGGCGCTGCAGAGAGGTGAAAGAAGCTCTATGCTTCTCACAAGACCGTACAGATCTCTGGTCAGCAATATGTGCAGCTTGGCATAGCATGCGCGGTGATGGAGCAAAGCGTGAATTCGTAGTGATACAATTCCGATGACAACCGCGAGAGTACAAGAGGTTCACTGCCGATACATTCTTTCTTCTGTTTCCTTCAAGCACCTTTGTTACGGCTACAACTTTCTTCAAGAGCGTCTCCCGGCGCGCGCGGCCGCTTGTTTCTTCTCGACCTCGGCTGCCTTGGCTGCAAACGAAGTGAGTGCGATAGATGGAAAGAAGGATGCAGGATGGACGTACCCTCGGCCTCCGCCTTTCTCTTCGCGGCAGCAGCCTCGCGCTCGGCGCGGATCTTGGCGAGGCGAGCGAGGTCCGCCTTCGCCTGGTCCGTCTTGCCCGCCTCGTGCAGCTACCAAAGCATCAGCACCCACCCCCACACGCCCCGCCACGCAGACGCAGACGCACCTTCCACCACTTCTCCTTCGCGTCCTTCTTCTCCTGCTCCTCGCGCTCGCGGCGCGTCGGCTCGCGCGGCACGTCGAGGTCCGCGAGGCTGAGGTTCTTGACCGCGGCGTGGTTCGGGTTGACGAGGTACGGGTCCTCGGGGCCGTCCGCGGCCGCCTTGGCCTTGGCCTGCTTCTTCAGCTGGCGGCGCTCCTCGCGCGTGAGCTCGGGCTGCCCCGCGGCGGGCGCTGCGGCGCCCTCCTCTTCCTCGTCGGACTCTTCCTCCTCCTCTTCTTCTTCCTCGCCGTCCGCAGAGTCCTCGTCAGAGTCGTCGTCGCTGCCGCGCGCGGCCCTGGAGATCTGGTCAGATCTGTCTCCTGGTATATGGGGAGAGGGCGCACCATTTGTCCATGGCGGCGGTGGACTCGTCGTCCCCGTCCGTGGCTGCGATGTTCCGGCTGCATCGCCCGACGCACGGTCAGATCGATGTGGCGTTCATGCGCACGATGGGACACGGCGCACCTGAAATTCCGCCCGCCGCCCCGCTTGACCTTGAACTTGCCTCTGCCAGCTATGCGCGACGTCAGGCTGTCTGCGCCAGCGTAGCCAAACCCCAGATACGCACCTGCGCCTCGCGCCATGGATATTTACAGTAGGATAGGATATCGAGGCGAGAGGAGAGACAAAGATAGAGGCCGCGTCCAAGCCCACCAAATCGAGCGTATGTCGCGGCGTTTCCCGGACGCAGCGAGTTGCACTTGCACCAGCAACCCATCCGACGCAACGAACGATGACCACGATCCCGACGCGGCTCGCGCAGGCGGCGCGCACGTCGAGCAGCCCGTCCGAGGCGCGCAAGCGCGTCATCCAGCTCTACCGCGACTGGTACCGCTCCGTGCGTCCTCCCCTCCTCCTCCTTGCCCTGCCCACTAGTACTAACCCCCCGCCCACCCAGGCCCCCGAGATCTGCAGCCTCTACGCGCTCAACGTGCCGCCCTCCGCGATCCGGCACGCCGTGCGCGCGCAGTTCGAGCGCAACCGCTACGTCTCCGACCAGAAAGTGATCGACGTGCTCCTCCTCAAGGGCTACCAGGAGTTCCAGGAGACGATGAACTGCTGGAAGCAGAACGACCACGTGCTGGGCATACTCCTCGAGCCGAAGGAGCGGCCGCGGCGGTCGTTTTTGCAGAAGTTTTATGAGGGTGAGTGTGTGCGCAGTGTGTGTACGTGGGGGACGGGTGCTGATGTGTGCTTGTAGGGAGGGACGAGGATGCGGTGTTGCCCGCGACGGGGACGAAGGCGACGGGCCAGATAGGGATGTAATAGACTGTCTGTCTCGTATAATCAATCCATTCTACTATGGACACCTATCCACACATTCACGACTGATACAATTTCCCCGCTACTTAAGCGTACACTCGTCACTTGTGCCCTTCCTCTTCCCTTCCCGCCTTAGACCCCCGCCCTCTTTCCACCCCCTACAGCGGCCGACTCCTATAAAGCAGCACGTACGCCGCCGAGTCCTCCCCGCCGCCGTCGAGCGTGCCCAGCTTCTCCGCGGGGAACACGCTCACCTTATCATCATCAAACTTCAGCCACTCATCATCCTCCTCCTCGTCCGCGCCCCCACCATCCCCGCGTCGGAACGCGCTCCGCTTCGCCCACCCGATATAGTGCCCCGCGTCCGCCGCCGCGCCCTTGTGCGTCACGATCGCTGTGGGCGTGCACGTAGGTAAATAGGTACCGATCGGAAATGGGCAGACGCGCACGCACCGACAAGCTCGTACAGCCCGTGCAGACTGCACCCCTCGTCGCGCCTGAGCTCCTCGCTCACGAGCGCCTCCAGCTCGCGCCGCTCCTCCGCGACCCACGCCGCCTCGCTCTTCTCCGGCGCGTCCACCTCCATCGGGGCGCCCTCAGTGTTAGTACTGGTAGTGGTAGTCGACCCGGCGCCAGCGTCAGTGTTAGTTGACCCCGCTCCAGGAGTAGTTGAAGAGGCAGTGGAAGCAGTAGGCGCCTTCGTCCGCCGGCGCACGTTCCGCCGGTCCCTCCGCGCCTTCTCGACGTCCAGCAGCCGGCGGTTGAGCGGGGCGAGCCGCGCGCGCAGCTCGTCCGTCACGAGGTCGAGCGCGTCGAACTCGGGCGGGAACTTTACTTTGCGCTGCGGAGAGCGGGCGGGCGGGTTAGCGTCACCCGCTCCTTGCACAGTGAGAGGAAAAGAAAGAGAGAGAGAGAGAGAGAGAGAGAGAGGAAAAAGACAGCGCAGAGAAAGCGCGCAGGAAAAACCAAACACAAACACCAACCCAAACCCCACTCACCATAATCTTCGCCTTCCTACTGATATCCCTCCTCCACGCGAAACGCACCATGTGCACGGTGAGGTACGCCGGCAGGCGCGCGAGGCGCGCGGTCTGCGTGTACGCGGCCTGCCGGCCGAGCGTCGGCGAGGTCTTTTCGACTTCTTGGGTGAGCGCCTGGGGGGGATTGGGGTTTAGTACGGTAGGGAGGGGGGAGGGAGGGAGAGGCACGCACGCTGAGAATGCCCTGGAGCATGAAATTGGTGCTGCCGGTGATGTTGCACTCGATCTTGAGCACCCTTTCGTGCGCGACGGTCGGGGGCTCGTCGGGGGCCTCGGCGGTCTTGAGTCTGCGTGGGTGTGAGGAGGGGGGAAGGGGAAGGGGAGGAGAAAGAAGAAGCACACGCACTCGCGGCGAATCTCGCCCTGCATGTACTGCTCGACGAACCTGCCCGCGCCGGAGGGGCCGGGGACGTCCTTGAGCGCGTTGGCGATCGCCGTCCAGCACTCCTCCGCGTCTGTCGCCCGCGTCATCAGCGGCCCAGAAAAACAAATAGAGGGCAGACGCACCCTGCTGCGCGTACCCGCGCATCACGCCGCCCTTTGTCCTGTCCATCTCCGCAAACTGCGGCGCGACCTGGCGGAGCACGCTGAGGAAGGCCATCGGCGTGACCGGCTCCGTCGTCTCGCGCATATTTCTGTACAAGTCGCGCAAAGCCCGGGGGAGCGGGCCGAGCGCGGCGGCGGGGGCATTGTCCAAAGCGGTCTGCAACTCGGGGATGGCGCGCAGGGCCTGCACGGTGGCGTTCATGTAGCAGGTGTTGCCGAGGTTGCGGAGGCCGGCGGGGAGGGCGGCGGAGGCCCGAGCGAGCTCGGTGTCGGGGAGGTCCTCGATGAAGACGGTGGGGGCGGGCGGGGGCTTGGGGAGCTCGGTGGCGGCGCCGATGACCATGAATGTTTGGCCCTGGGGTGGGTGAATACGGGATGCAGGTGCGGAGACGGCACTCACGGCTTTCGGCGCGACCTTGCTCCAGTCGGTGTCGTCCTGCGGGGTGGATGAGCGATCGCACAGCACAGAAGAAAAGGCGGACCTTGAGGACGCCGCCCTTGAGCATGACCTTGAGCCTGTCGGCGGGGACGCGCGTGGCGGCGCTGACGGCGTGCTTGAAGGCGGCGGCGGGCTGGTCGGTGTCGAGCAGGAGCGGGAGGGTCTTGCCCGCGTGCTTGATGTTGACTTGCAGTACTGGCATTGTGGTGACCGCGTAAGCCTGGATGAGCGTTTCGGACAACTTAAGGTTCTCGAGAACGCCCTGGCGACTGGGAGGTTCGCCCGCCGAACGCGTTCGCGAACGGCGAACGTCTGGGCACGTGAGGGGATGCCACGCCACCTGAGCAGAGCCTAGGGAATTGCCACACCGCAACTATTGTTGTATTTAGCGAGAAAGACAATGGCGGCGATGCTTTCAATCTATAAAATACAGTTTGCTATGCACATATTGTTGTACAGTAAACAGTGATATCCATGAATTTCAAGTTGTCCATGCCCGATGACTAATTATATGTATACAAGGCTTCTGTAGAGGCATCACATTTCCAATGCAATGCCAGTAGTAGTGACTATGGAAACCATTAGGGGGAGGGCACAGAAGGGGCTTCAGTGGGTTTGTGCAACCCCAATTCAACCCCAATTGGACAGACAGCTTCGATTACTCGCCACATTTTTTGACAGCAATTTGTTAGGAAGCGATGTCCTAACTAGTCGTCTTGAGATAACTGGGCCACGTGCCAACAGTTATGTCGTCACTACCTCAGTAAGCATACTGAAAGGTAGGTCTGGCCGGGCCAATGCCAACGGTCAAGTCAAGAGTCCAGGTAATTGCTGTATTCAACAGGAGGTTGAACTAAGGAATACATGGGTTTTCCTACAGTATATATAGTAACTGGTATAGGGGTTAATACCCAAAGAAGAGAACAATAAGAAAGGATGTGTTAGCTATCCTGTGAGAATGTAACTCAGAGAAATGAGAAATACAAGGGTGCCCATTGGTAGAAGGTGAGTCAAGGGAGATAACGTGTGAGAAGAAGATGGCGTCCATGGGAAGGTCTACTCAGAGAAAGGTACTGTCCAATAGCAATGCTCGGAATGGAAATAGAATGAGATAAGCATGGGAAAATCATAACACAATTTCAATCTCACAGACTGATTACAATAAATTTACAAGTTAAAAATGTTATGATTTTCCCATGCTTATCTCATTCTATTTCCATTCCGAGCATTGCTATTGGACAGTACCTTTCTCTGAGTAGACCTTCCCATGGACGCTATCTTCTTCTCACACGTTATCTCCCTTGACTCACCTTCTACTAATGGGCGCCCTTGTATTTCTCATTTCTCTGAGTTACATTCTCACAGGATAGCTAACACATCCTTTCTTATTGTTCTCTTCTTTGGGTATTAACCCCTATACCAGTTACTATATATACTGTAGGAAAACCCATGTATTCCTTAGTTCAACCTCCTGTTGAATACAGCAATTACCTGGACTCTTGACTTGACCGTTGGCATCAGCCCAGCCAGACCTACCTTTCAGTAAGCTTACTGAGGTAGTGACGACATAACTGTTGGCACGTGGCCCAGTTATCTCAAGACGACTAGTTAGGACATCGCTTCCTAACAAAAAACCGGATAATTCTATCCAGCAACCCCCCTTAATAATTTTGCTTATCTGGCAAGGGGAGTTGCTGAACTACGAACGTGACATCTATGAATCGAGAAACTAATCTGCACTCAGATCCTCTGTACCATTAGCGAGTCATACGATAATTCACAGGAGATCTGTATCTAATGTCCATCTATCTCCCACTGTGTCCCTGTTTGAGTCGGACACATCTGGTGATTGTGACCTGTTTGTTTACACAAGCCACACCTCCGACGTTTCCTCCCCATTGATGAAGAGTTATGGAGGCAGCAGCACGCACAGTGTGCCCTACACAACTCACCTGTATTGAGTGGATGCTGTAGCTACTGGTAAAGCTTGTATAAACGACCCTTGTCATTAGGCAGCAGAGCTGCAGGGTTTATATACACTGTGGCCCATAGGCTGACTAACCTATGTGGAATATCCCTAATCCTACTGAGCTCCACCTATGATGTCACTGACCCACATGAGCTCCATGCCTTTGTACAATAGTGGAATATACCAGAATGTTCCAGAGGGTTCCGGTACATCCTGGTACATTGTAGAACCTGGCAGCTAAGTCAGTGCCTAGTTCAACACCCATGTTGGAGTGACTGTGGGAATCAGAGAGGTGACACCACTCTGTTTCTCAGGCTGTGGCAAACTGCACGGATTCCAAATTTAGCGACATTCTTTCCTTTTTGGGTTATGTTTATCTTTCGTTCTCTTATTGTCACTCTTTATCACTCTGACAGCTCATATAGTGTTGTGATAACCTTTTGACGTATCTAGATTGCTGTACCATACCTTGCAAGCTCGAGGACCTTAAGTACAACGCCCCTGTAGATACACCCCCATCTTTGCACTCGTTCGTTAGACGTGCTAAGTGGGGTGAGTTTGTATTTGTGAACCCGTTCATTCATGGACTTACCATTACCTGTAGTTTACTTGTCTGTTCGTTCACAGGTAATGCGACCAATCTTTGCACTCGTTCGTTAGACGTGCTAAGTGGGTTTACTTGTCTGTTCGTTCATAGACACACACGTCTACGCAAAGGTCAAATATATTATATTATCTTTACACCCCAGGTTTGCTGGGTCATCTACGTCATCAGCCTGAAGTGCATGCCGAGCAGCAGCATCTCCGCTAGAGCCAAGTCCCAGTAGTGCTGCACTGGTGGAGGCTGGATCAGATGGCGCAGGATTGCTAGATGGGTTGGACGGGTTGGTTGAGGTCTGTTGCACAGCTGACGTTCGTCCCATTTTTGTGGGCCCTCCGCCGCGCAGTGGGCCTTCAATATGAGATGTTAGCTGAGCTGTCTGATGGCGGCCTTTCCGGTTGATGGCGGGAGGATCACGTATCATCGTCTCTGTTTCACTTTGCGTATGACGATCCCTGTAACCAGTATTCAGCATCTCATCGAATGAACAGCCGTCACACATACTGTAGTTCCTTGATTCCACCCAGAAGAGTATCAAGCTGTTCTTGAGTTTGTATATATGGATACACGCTCTTCATTGTGGCTTGCGCTTTGTGAAATATGGTCCGAGCTCCAATTGTTTGAGTAGAAGGTGGAGGGGAGCCGTTGCACTGTCTACGTCCAAAAGGATTGGTGAACGAGGAGGGTACTAACGGTGCCATAACCGAGCACGAAGCAGCACCTTCGAGGGTGCTCGGTGCAACTCTGGAGAGTGTCACTGCCGGGATGGAATCTTTGGGTCTTGGTACCCTCTACATGCAACATCAGTATGTGTTCCTGGTAGCTCGTGCAGATGGCAATAATAAGTAGTGCATAGTATAGGTACCAGTGACACAGTCAGTGATGAATGGCTCATGGTCCTGTAAACTGTGCGGATCACAGGTGAGAGTACCAACGGATGCGGTCACAGATTGCATTGGCCACACCAGTTACCCGACAGGTATCGAGACTACATTGTTTGACGCGCTCTCAAAACCAAGACCCACCGGTACCTGGGTACCCGTACCCAACGACACGGGTCTGTGCACACATTTGATTCATATAAAACGCTACGCACCTTGCCCATACTAAACTTATATGAAATATGAGCCCCTTAAACTTTACCAAAGCTTGAAAGAAGTGCCGGCATGGGAGCCCAAGACTGAGGCCCATGGCGCAATCACAGATGTAGCGTCCATCAGTGAGCAAAAGTAGGTAATGCATTGCTGATGGACCCAAATAGATAATCTGGAGGATGTGCTGTACTTTGAGACCGTTTGTGATCGCTTGCTGCAGTAGCCAGTTCACAGAAATGTGGGCAAAGTCATTGGAAAAGTTGTTATGTGATCGCTGGCATGGTAGATCAGCACCCTAATCTCAACACCTGATATTGGAATGCATACCTTCTCTTCTCCTTTATCCCAGTTGAATTGCATAGTTGTGCCTGAAGCATTGATGGTTCCTATAGGGAGTTGCAGTCATGGTTCAATGGAGATAAAGATGTCATGATCCGAATCACATACCCAACTATGTGCACCTTCAGGAAGCTGTAGGACTTCTGTGGTATAGAAGACGCGGTGCTCCATCTGATTCCGGACTATATTTAGAGCGTAAGGACCCGCATACTTGCGGAGCAACTCCAGCAGGCGTGCAAAAATGCTCTCAATATGGGTATTATGTTGCTGTTGTGAAGACTGGAGAAAGAGTATCAGTATGATGACTGGTGGATGGAATAGAGGTACCAATCCACCCACCTCCCATACATGAACCATATCATTGACTGTCTGCCCTTCTGTCCGTTCATTCAGAGCATCAGACAACTGTAACAGAGTCTTCTTTGGCCCACCCAGCGCCTTATTGACTTGGTTTTCGACTTCGGACCTGCTGTTTGTCCTAGTACCAGCTGTAAAAACTTGACATACCCAAGCCCAAGCCCAACGGTGATATGCACTGACACACAACAATCACCAAGGACCAAAAGGAATAAACCTAAACCCCGTGATATGGGTGAAGGCGGTCAGAGACAACTGAAGGGTATTTAATAGTTCGAGGGGGAAAGGAGGAGTAAGACGCCGTAGGGTAGTCCGTAGGAAGACCTAGAAAAATAAAACAAAACCTTGATGCCTGAAACAAACACTAATGGACGCTCCGGAGTATTTATCTCCGAAAAGTCGCAAACAAAGTCGCAAACCACGGAACTGAGTGTAGGTTCGGGCCCACGGGAGTAGAAAACGCTAAAGGGACTTGTTTAATTTTTATTTCGCTATGTGAGACGCACCGGAGCTAATTGAATCGATGGCGGAGCTAATTCACTCGATGAGTCAGGCCTATTGGCAAAGCTAAGATCGGTTATAATTCGCTAAGTTCGACGCTTTCGAACTTCTCGGGTCGCTGAGATCGTAACGCTAATTCTCTGAGATGGTGAAGTCGAAACTTGTTTTTCTGTATGCTACTTTGTACAATTTATACTACAGGAATGGCTTTGCGACCGTTCGGAGATAAATAACAAATAAACGCCGCTACCCACAGGATTGCTCAGCACTTTCCTCCGCTATACCATACACCATACGACTCTCTTGCGCTCCCACTTGCTCTTTCCAGCCCCTATAGGTCGCCTCGATGCTCCGCCACCTGCCCTAAGCGGTCCCATCACTCCGCGCGATGCACTAGTCACGTGCTAATTACCGCTGGCCGCTCGCTGACTGATGCTGACCTCATGGTGACTCATATACATCTGCACCTTCGGTATTTTGATGGAAATGAGGGGAGTGAGTGTTGGAGGTTGGGCATGAGGAAGATGCCCCTCGATAGAAGTGTCCGCGGGTCCCGGAGCTAATGCAGCTAGAAGTCGCATTGGTTAAGTCACTCCAGAGCTTCGGTGCGCGGAGATAAAGCGCAGAATGGGTCCGAGTACGCCTCGAGGATGTTGGGAAGTCCGGAGCTAAATAGAAAAAGTCTTTAGAGCCCATAGAAGCCTAGAGGTGTGTGAGCGCTGTGTCGAATAAGCTCCAGAGGGCTTGTACAATGCGCTGAGTCCGCGTTTTCGGGGGTCAGACGATCCTGAGGCTTATCAACGCACCATCTCTTCTGTCTTCATCACATCGACGGTAACATGACTACTGCTGTGCGCATTCGGCTCGGATCACAATGGGACCAGTTCAAGGCAGACTTCTGGGAGACATACCGAGCTGTGAGCCCAGACGATTTCGAAGAGCAATGGAAGGTTCTCCTTATCGGCTACCCCACTGCAGCAGACTATTTAGCTGCGGAGATGTATCCCTGTCATGACCGTTGATAAGCCTCAGGATCGTCTGACCCCCGAAAACGCGGACTCAGCGCATTGTACAAGCCCTCTGGAGCTTATTCGACACAGCGCTCACACACCTCTAGGCTTCTATGGGCTCTAAAGACTTTTTCTATTTAGCTCCGGACTTCCCAACATCCTCGAGGCGTACTCGGACCCATTCTGCGCTTTATCTCCGCGCACCGAAGCTCTGGAGTGACTTAACCAATGCGACTTCTAGCTGCATTAGCTCCGGGACCCGCGGACACTTCTATCGAGGGGCGTCTTCCTCATGCCCAACCTCCAACACTCACTCCCCTCATTTCCATCAAAATACCGAAGGTGCAGATGTATATGAGTCACCATGAGGTCAGCATCAGTCAGCGAGCGGCCAGCGGTAATTAGCACGTGACTAGTGCATCGCGCGGAGTGATGGGACCGCTTAGGGCAGGTGGCGGAGCATCGAGGCGACCTCTAGGGGCTGGGACGAGCAAGTGGGAGCGCAAGGGAGTTGTATGGTGCATGGTATAATGGCGGCAAGTGCTGAGCAATCTGGTGGGCAGCGGCATTTATTTGTTATTTATCTCCAGACGGTCGCAAAGCCATTCCTGTAGTATAAATTGTACAAAGTAGCATACAGAAAAACAAGTTTCGACTTCACCATCTCAGAGAATTAGCGTTACGATCTCAGTGACCCTCGAAGTTCCAAAGTGTCGAACTTAGCGAATTATAACCGATCCTAGCTTTGCCAATAGGCCTGACTCGTCGAGTGATTTATCTCCACCGTCGGTTTAATTATCTCCGGTGTGTCCTACATAGCGAAATAAAATTAACCAAGTCTCTCCAGCAATTTCGGCCACCGCGGGCATGATCCTACAACAGGTGTCATTGCTTGCGACTTTGATTGCGACTTTTCGGAGATAAATACACTTTTCGGAGATAAATACTCCGTCGCGTCAACTAGTGTTTGTTTCAGGCATCAAAGAATTTGTTTTATTTTTCTAGGTCTTCCTATTGACTACCCTATGTCGTCTTACTCCTCCTTCCCCCTCGAACTATTAAAATACCCCTCAGTTGTCTCAGACTGCCTCCACCCATACCACTGGTGTTAGGTTTATTTCTTTTGGTCCTTGGTGATTGTTGTGTGTCTGTGCATATCAGTGTTAAGGGAAGAACAAACTTTGCACTGGCCACAATTGATGCGTGATGATCTGCCATGAGGACTTCGGGCGGGACTTCTCTGGTCCCATGCAGATGGTTTGGGAGTACCCACTTATGTGTCTTGGTGTCTTCAGTCTGATGCAGGCAATACCAGAGATTCCGATTCTTGCCGAAGTTATCAATACCAATGCCAATATTGAGTGGGTAGCCATACTGATTCCTGCCGTAAGAATTGTTGTTTATCAGTATGTCCGAAAAGCGATGGGCGAGAGCCTCTTGCTCTGGTGATTGCCACCACAATGCTGTAATGACTTGCTGATCATTAAGCCGTATGTAGTAGCGCCATCCTTCTCCACTTTTGTATGATGCTTCGAGTTTGTTCAGTATTGCATTGACATCCCCCCCCCCAAGTGCGATCACTTTGTCGTGAGCTTCCCGACGTGCACCATTCAGCATATTTGAGATCTGTAGTTACTGGGTTCAGGACACGGGTATTTACACTACGAACAGATATGAGTACAAGATGTAATCTAATCTATCGGATCAAGCAAGCACATGACCTATGATGAGTTCAAGTACACGTGACAAGATCAAAGCATGTGAGCAAATCACACACTGAATGTGTGATGTACGTGCGCATACGAGGAGACACGTCTACCTTGAGTTCTCATAGGTACTCGCACTCCTTACACCTGTGCCCGGCTAGAATGTATTATGACTTCTAATTGAGCTCGTACTACCAAGCTGGCTGATGCTCGGCATCTGGAAATACTAAGTCCGACAATAAACACCCTCTAGCAGTGACTCAGACTGTGGGAAAGCTTGCACTGAGAGTGCAAGCACTCCCACACACCACTGAAGACGACTCAGGCAAAGAGGAACAAGACAGATCCAAGTCCCTCGCTCACTCGCCACTCCTGAGTCCTCCCCCCATCTTATCGTCTGGTCCTCCCCCGCTCTCCCCCTTCATTCCTGGGCACCATGTCTTCGGCATCCACTAAGAAACAAAATTACCGATGCTACTGTCAAGCCTGCCATGGAAAAGTAGTAAGTCGTTGGAAGAAATAGAAGCACCAACGAGAGGAATTTCGGTGGAACAACAAAATCACCTTCCAAAATAATCAAGGGGGTACGTACTTCTGCCGTCCAGATCCCGGGGAATCCAATTGGGAACTTGAGCCATCTACCTCGCTATCCCACCCCTTCGGTTCCTCTCACAGAGGGATATGCCCGCCGCTGCCCATCGTTCCTGATGCTCCGAGTGCATCCCTGCCACAGGCACCAACTCACAGACCACTTGAGATAGAGTCCAAGCAGCCCCATGATGAAGATATATTTAACATGGATGTTAATGTAAGCCTTCTATCTGTTCCCGAGCTCGTAAGATGTATTTCAACTGATCCTATCTTTACTTTGCAGTATTCTCATGACCAGCAGTATGAACTTACATGCTCGGCAGGTCTTCTGACCGAATCGCACTCCTCCCCCAGTGATTCTGACTCATCTAGCAGCATCAATCAGAGCTCTAATGAGGCTGGGCCTCCTGCCGACAACTTTCCTGACGATCATGGCTCGGTATATGTGCCCTCCCCAAGGTCCACCAAGGATCCCGATTGACAAGAGGACTTGAGTGATGACCGTGCGTCGCTATATGCGCGTGATCCTGCCACCAACGCTGAAGCCTTCCCTGCCCCAACTGCTCCCAAGCTGCCTGCACCTACTGGAGATCTGAACCTGGGACGTCAGGAACCTGTGCAGCCCACAGCCCCTGAGGACAAATCTCTTGCTCAACAATGAGCTCTGCGTGCATGCAAGGTCCGTGTTCAAACGGAAGTCTTGACTCTCCAGAAGCAATCACAACTCAGCACTCAACAGCTTGATCTCTATGACAATCCAGACGATGGAGGCGATATCCAGAATCCTCTTGCCTCCAGCAGATTTGCAGCGGATGAGTCCAGGACCTCTCGCGCTGCCCCCATGCTTGACATTCCCCCGCTTGAGCCTTGCGAGCCTGGACGGTCTTACTCAGAGTCGCACCACTCTTGGTTCATGCGCATGGTCTTGATTCTAGTTTCTTCCCTCAATATCAAGTATCATGTCACTTTCTGCGTGTGCTCACTCATCCTGTGGACAATGCGGACCATTTTTATTGCCCTTGGACACCTCGTGCAGAACGACAAGATGCTGACGCTGACATCAGTAATCTACAACTTCGAGCTGGAAGACAGGTTCCAAATATCCCCTGCCTGTCCGGTGTGTCACGAGCTCTTTGCTCCCTCCAGCGGGCCCGATTCTACATGTCCCCATTGCGACGTAGGACTATTCCAACCACGAAACCGGACATTATTCGAGAGTCTCACTGGGGGATCTGCTCTGCGGCCACTGTACCAATCTCCACTCTGTCAAATCTTCTAGTTGGCTTTCTCGCAGAGGGCGAGAATGAGTCCATCTGCGAGCAGTGGCTTGACTACGAGCCCAGCAAGGCTGGTGAGTATCACTTGATGCTGGATGGTGACGTGCTGAAACCACTACCTCGGCCTGCATTAGCTCAAACATGATGATCAAGCAGGCTTTAGTCACTTGCAAGAAATTTCTGGCAGTGTGGAGATGAGGTGGCAGGTTGGGTTCAAGGAGAGTTCGGTATTTGAACTGCTCTTGTAAAGCTAGCTCATGGTTATCTTCGTCAGTGTCTGAGTCTTCGGATGATTCTTCTTCTCCGCGTCGTATGTGATCGTGCTTCGCGCGGTTGTGGCGCGTTGATAAGCCCCAGCGATCTTCTGACCCCCGAAATTGTGAATTTGACACACCATACATCCCCTCCAAAGTTTATTCGACACCACCTGTCGAACCTCTTACGCGACAAGTAACCGACGAAGGGTTCTGTATTTAATTCCGGACCTTCTAACGTCCTCAAGGCAGGCGCAGATCACCAAAATGATTTAGCTCCGCAGCCAGATGCTCCGAAGTCACCCGGAAGAATACCTTTGTGACTAATTATCTCCGGGAACGGCGGAGGCCCGCGTCGCAGTGAGTCATTGGTATTACCACTCCCCAGTCATCACTCCCCTTCGTTTCCGTCAAAGCGACCGAGTCAGCGGACGTAAATCGACGGCCGGACGGAACGTATCAGTCAGCAAGCGGCCGGAGCTAATCCGCACGTGATCAGCCTGCAGTACCGCGTGATGAGGCACTTCAAGCGAGCATTGACGCGTCGAGGCTACCTCTAGGACCTAGGACGAGCACGTGGAAACACGGCAGGATCGTATGGGACATGGTATAGCGGTGGGCAAAGGCTGAGTAATTGTGTGGGATGCGGAGCATATTTGTTATTTAACTCCGGGCGGACGCAAAACCATTCCAATAGCATAAAAATGTATGGAGCGTAGTGGAAAATCCAAGTTTTGTACTTCACCCTCTCAGCGTACCAGAATTATCGT